CGGACTATGCAAAAGAGAAAATTAGTAAAGAAAATTGAGTTAAGAAGATGCACTCTATTCACTATATCATTTGGTTTCCTTTTGCTTTCGTCTTTGCTGCTTGACGAACGCGTTGAAAAGTAGTTGAAACCCTTCTGTGATTATTCTTCAAATTACCTCACTTTTCTGCATACTCATGATTTACATATTTGCTATTTTACTTCAGTTGTTTACTTGTTTTACTTTATTTAGTTTTTTGCTTACTTATTTTCGTTCGTTTCATGCCATCCGTGAGTATGTTTGAAGTCTTACTTTGAATCTTGCGACTGGCCGCAACTTGTGAAAATGAAACTGTCAACTTTGAAAATTTTAATAGGCCTTTAAGAAATCTTCCTAAAAGAAAAGTGATTCTGCCCAACCAGTTCATAACAACCATAGGTCATCGTCCGTATTTGTCCCCGTTTAAGTTTCGTATTCCATTTCAATACTTGGTTACAATTGCTTTAGGTAGGAGTACTCTTGAACAAGCCGTTTTTGACAGTGATGGAACAGGCCATCATCCGGAAGTTGCGCATTGGCTCGATCCCATACATGAGCTTGGTTTTCTTCGATATCGTTTTCGATCCATGGGGTAGGTTGCCTCGTGCGTAGTATGGTTTCTTTGGAAATTGCTAAGCAGGTGCCTTGTTGTGTACTTGATTCATGCCTTTTCAGCCAGTAGTAAGCGTATAATTCCTTCTGAAAAATTTTTCATGAAAATGAATTTTTCCTTAGTCATGTTAGGTTGTTAACTTCTTTATAGCTATCGTGTCTCTGTACAGCACCGTCCTTTGCCTCATTCGTGTCTCCTGCATGTTTCCACAAACCTGTAGGTCAAACTATCCTTTTTCGTTGCGCGTTCTCCCGTCCTTGATTCTCATAATTAGAATTTGAGTTTACGAAAAGCTGGGATGTAGATGTTGATGGAAATCCAGACGCAGATATGTTTCCATGTTGCTGTAGGAGTTTTTAGCAATTATAGGTCATTCAGGAAGTGTCTAAACCGCTAATTTAAATGCCTTAAATCTTAAATCATCGCTGATCTTACTTTACTAAGATCTCACCAATCGGTCATATGTACTATGTTAATTTTGCTTCAGGTATGACTCACGCCGAAGTTTTGCAACAGTTGGAAAATGGTTACAGAATGCCATGTCCTAATAACTGTCCTGCGTCGTTGTACGAAATCATGCTCGAGTGTTGGCACAAGGACCCGGAAAAACGCCCAACATTCGAGACTCTGCAGTGGCGGTTGGAAGATTTTTTCGCCTCTGATCCCACGAACTACAAAGACGCTTCTGTTACGTTTTGATAATTCTACGAGTTTCCTGAAACTTTAAAGCTATATTACTTAATTTAGTTTTCTTTTCCAGTGCGTGCCTTATTTCTTATCGCTTTTTTTTGTTTTTGTTTTAAGTATTTGTCCTTCCTCTGTTTTTGTTTCTATACAGTTAAGCGTGTATTACATTTTGGTGATTATTCGCATTTTCTCACTTATGCTTCAGCTGTGATTTGATTATGATGAACTTCGTTCACGTTGCTTAGTTTCGAATGATTTTCGTTTCAAGTAAGTGTCCCATTGATTTTACCAAATGTTTATTATTGTTGAAACTTTGTTTTGTATTTTTTCAAAACCGTCTTTTGTATTTTACTGCAGTTTGGCAACGTTGAGAAGTTTTAGTAAACTGAAGTTTGTTGTTTCTTTGTGTTTTCAATGTACATACCGTAATGTAGTTTGCTGTTGGCAAACCTAATCAATCAGCAGCTTTTTTTGTTATCTTGAAATCTACCTAGTTGACTGCTGAGACTATGTGGAGCTTGAGCCAGCGAATCGTGTCATCAAATACTTTGGAACCACAGACGTAAAAGCGGTTGCTGATGGATATAAACACCTCTTCAATGCTGTTCTGTCAGTTCGTTACTGGGTGAAACACGCCGATTTTATTGCACCATGGCGTATGTTGCTACTGTTTTTCGTTTGCCTAGCCCCAAGTTTTAGACACCCTTTTTGGCAGTTCACTTATCGGTTGCAGAAATGTCTTTAGGTCTGTCGATGTAGTCACCGTCAGCTGTTGGAATAGCCAGATAGTATTGGCTGAAATGCAACAGAAATTCAGACCCCTGATGGACAGACCTTCGTGAAATGATGCATGATCCCACGCTGAGGATCGGAAAGATAATGTGCACAGCAGAGAACTGAATATGCATGTTAGCCTCGTCTACGACCGTTTAATAGAAACAGATTTGCCTCTGAGAAGGAAGAAAGCCAAACAGAATGATCTGAAAGTATCATCATCAACGGGTACTGAGGAAGATCAATCTAGCGTATCTGTCTGGCAGTTGCTTATGTACGCTCTCAGAAAGTTTTACATTCGCATCTTTGTTGCGCAACTCATTATGGTCTAGACTGCTGGATATCGATCTGAACACAGTCATTGATACAAAAAGTGAGAATAAGATTACTTCGAACGATTGCCGGCGCAAGGCGCTCTATTCGTTTCAGAATATGACAATTGAAAAAAAAACGCTGTTCAGTCTCTATTCAGTTTCCCTTCAAATGACGCAAGAAATTCCTTTTACTGCGACGTTTCGGGTTCTGAACAAAGAAGCTGTTATCGGTGAATTTTTCCACAACACAATGGACATTACAACCGTCGTCATTCCAGATCGAGAGATTATAGTCAGCATGCCTTGGGACATAGTTGAAATGACGGAGAATAGCCTCGCAAAATTTTGCCTTTGCATGACGTACGTGCTTGCTGTCTTTCCCTACGCTATGTTGATATTCTGCAGAATGGTTCATGATGCTACATGAAATTTGGCATATGCACAGGTGCTTCAATCGAAGTTCGCTCTATATTGCGATCATCATCATGCAGCCCTCCAACCCATTGTCATCCAGTTAATAACACAGTCTTCGGCCAGTTCGTTGGGGTATAAACACCCCTCCACCTTGTGCCGAGGTAGTTAGATCATTTTTAAGGTAGGAAAGTTTACACTCGTCTAAATCAGAAATTTCGGATTGCAGCGTC